CGTGAAGTTCATCAGTCTTTAATCTACGACCCGCAGTCGACATACGATCGCCACAGTGTCGTGCCTCCATGTTGAATGCAACGACATTGTAAAGGCAGAGTTAGTGGCCGTGGGTGGAGATCGCGGGCCGCCGTCGTTTCCAGTGACATCGCATCATCTATCCGAGACTCCATCACGGCAAAATTTAAGAACGCTGATTACATTTTGACCATTGATGATCGGGACGCGAAGTAGTGTGTTGTGTATACCGCCAGGGATGAGGGTGCGCGATGCTGATTTGAGAGGTCACGTGGCGGCATAGCAACTGCGTCATAAAAATACTGCATTTCATTCCCCAAAGCTTTTAAATGCAACTCTATCTGATGGTGGGTTCGCGCCAAAATACGAAACATCAGGATATTTTGCGTCATGATCCAGCGATGTCATCTTCCACCTGTTCTTTTTGATATTTCTCCGGATCAGTCGTTGCATTGTAAATGTATCTACTGAATAAGGGTGCAAATGGGAAGAAAAACGGTATGAACATAACTACGGAAGTCATGATACGAAGCTTACGATTTTATGTAGCATACACATGTACACAAAGGGCTCCTCTATCGATTCGTAAATAGCACCCTGCTATTTAATCAATTACTGTTTGAAAATGCTAAACTTTACGAGCAAAGAGTAATTTTCATTTTTCTTCGGAGCATTTGCAATAAAGAAACACTGATAAATATCTCCATTGAAAAACCAAAGCATTATTTTGTTATAGAACAGTTGCATGTCAATGCGTTGAAAGTAAGCAGTGCTTGTTTTTTCCTTCCACAATTACGCAAGTCTATAAGATAATTTGCATATTTATCTTCAGCTCCAAACCTTTGCGAAGCCCGCAAAATATTTTTATATTCAACATGGCCATATCCGACGGGGTTTTATCAGTCATCACTCAACTTAAGACAATTTCTAGCGTCTACGGATACTGGTACTGGGGGAAAAAAGGTAAGCTACTCCATATGTTTCTAGGCACTTTTATATTCCCAAAGCAGATACATATTTAGTTTTTGTTTACTTAATAAGAAATTTCGTTTTAACGAATTTTGGATTTCGAAGAAGGATATAATTGTGTGATAATACTTTGTAAGATTTTCACAGTGTGACGATCATTTCGACGTCCATGGCCACTTGGATATGCAAATCAATCCTTTTGTTAAAATTTGACTACTTTTACAACAGGTTTAACTAAACCCAGAACATTGGCGGTTAAAGCTGTCCTCCAGTATAAAAGATCAAAGATTAATTGAAAGGCAGGCATCTTTAGAAATGTAAAGTCAAAAAATGCACCCTTTGGGAAAATGAGTATTCTTATTCAGTAGATTTTCGACACTGGATTCCCAGGTCGTCGTCAGCCTTGATAAAATGTGCAAAAAACAATTACACCTAGGAATTCAGCGCCAAACATTAATTGAATTAGTAACCTCATTTTTGCAAAGGACGCCTTATTTTGACACGAATTCTATTAAATCTACACGAGCCATCTTTTAAAAACCAAGCCTCTATCAGTCGTAGCTTAAATCAGTAGAGTGTTGGCTGCGTAAATGCCTTAAATTCTGTACGGGTTCGACTACCGTCTACGCAAACATTTTTTTAAAAATTGAATGCTCTACATATTTGAGGTAGCTTTTTTTTCAACTCTATAATTGCTTTTCTGAAATGCCAATACACTATCCAATGTAAAGCAACAAAGCCATCAAGTAATTTTAAGAATTTGGCGAAGGACAATGGCAATTAAAAGTTATAGAGACTCAGTGTGCCACTGACAAGCAATATTATAGATCTCCGCATTCAGTTTAAATGGTGATGATCCTGGTCTGTCTGTTTTCTTAAAAAACAACGGTCTGTCCCACAGCAAGGTAGCGCACGGAAACCGATTCGAACATGATGTATAGTTGGTCACATATCTGATGTAATGTTGAGGATTGGGGGATTTAACACAAAATTGAGGTAGTTTATTAAGTTTATTGGGTTGGCTTGAGGCGCAAAATGCTGATTACTAGAATTGAATTCCATTCAGATCAGTATAGTTGCAGAAAATTTAGGCGGAAACGGGCAAATCCAACCTTTGTTGATTTCTAAGGAATTTACTATGCTATTAAGCGCTGCGGAGAATATATTTACATTTGTGCGTGCTGAAGTTTCAAAAAAAAAATATTCACAAAGAGTGGAAAATGTTTAATTATATTTCTTCACTACAGATAAAATTTTGTTTTGCGTCCATGAAATTGAGGTTAGTGTACCTTACGAGATACAGAACTAGAGTCGAGAAAAACTTGATGAATCGAGTTAACAAATGTTTGCTCTACAAATATGTTAAGTTTGGTGCTGATAAACCTAGTTAACAAATGTTTGCGCTACAAATATGTTACGTTTAGTGCCCTAAAGATACTAAATTAACTTGCAAGACGCAAAAAATGTGTTTTACTGCGCCGAAATTAGCAGGCCTATTTGGCTTCAGATGAATTCCTCGAAATCTCATATGTTTTCTATTTAACCTCGTAAATAATCTGTCAAAATATTGTCAAAATATAGAGGAAAATTAATAAATATCAAAACTCCAAACGGAAGAAGTAGAAGATTACTATATTTGAGA